GTATTTGAAGTTTTTATCCGCCCTGAAAAATTTACATGGTAAGCCATGCCGTTTTTTTATAAAATCTTCTCGACTGACGCAAATAAAACAGTCCACGCGAGATACACGCAAAGCGGCAAATCAGCTTCTATGTGGCTTGAAACAAGTCTGTCATATTATGTCATGTCAGTCCCGTGACATTTTCATGTTGTAGGGGTGTCATAATAGAGACTGCAGTCAGGGATTTCCATTGTCTTCGGTCTTTTGTCATTCTCAGCAATTTGCTTAGTATGTGTCCAGTCCACTCTTTAATATTATCGAACCAGGTTTTTCGTTGACGGCCTCTTCTACGTCCTCCTTCTATGGAGTATGGTCTTAGCCAGGGAATTGTGGCTAAGCACAGCTACAGCAGCAATGACTAGACTCGGCACCATCTGGAAGAGCACAAACATCAGCCTCCCTGTTAAGATCAAGTTATACAAATCACTGGTGATTTCTATCCTCTTGTATGGATGTGAAAGCTGGACGTTGAATGCAGAAACTGAAAGGCGGATCCAGGCATTTGAGAACAAGTGCTACAGAAAACTACTAGGCATCCATTACTCAGAGCACAAGACCAACCAGTATGTCATGCAACAAATCGATGATGCTGCAGGCAAGCAACAACAGCTCCTAGCCATTGTAAAGCAACGGAAACTTGTATGGTTTGGCCATGTTAATCGCCACAATTCCCAAACAAGTCTAGGTTTGTGTATAATGAGTTAGCCTTCCAGTTGTTGTAGAGTTCATTGGATATATCAGACACTGGTACTTAAAGGGTTAAACAAGGTTTATACAACGTTAGACATTAACAACGCCGACGACCAAAAAATTACCTTAACGTTTAGACAACGTTCTTACAACGTTAGACATTAGGGACCTTAAGATTTTACGACGCGCTTCTCAACAACAAGAACGGAAGTACAATTAAGACAAATGCGCATGCGCAAGCGTCGTTTATTTTTTTTGCAAGCGTACGACGCGGCGTTTTTACTTGTTTTGGAGTCGTCGTAGAGCGGAAGACCATCTTGCGAATTGAAGAAAATAAAAAGGTTGAAAAGTCCTATATCTGCTTCTCTGGTAAGTGAAAATGAGCTTTCCTTCTGTCAAACGATAAATTGCCTAACTGCCAAGCCATACACATTTGAAAAAAAAATTTATGATAAAACATAATCTCAAAGACATCTTGTAAACTCAAATTTTATTTGTAATAGGGAATTCTTAATTTAAAGTATGACTTCTGAAGCATCATGCTCAAGAAGTTCACCGTAAGTTAAACTTTTTTCTTTGGTGAGAAAGGGCATGAAATCCTAGGATATCAGTAGATATTGATAATTTTAATCAAATCAATAACAAAGCATGTATTCTTTGCTGCAATCATGTTGTTTTTTTCAAGTATAGGAAGGAATAAAGCCCTTACAAAGTTTTGGATATTTAATGAGCATTAGACACTCTTTGAACTTTAACTTTTAAGTCGGCAAAGTAATAAAACATGTATGAAATATTATACATCCAAATAATTCTAATTCATACTGAATTAGATATGTCAGCATATTACACTAGTACTTTTAACTCTTTTCATGCAGGTTCTACCTAAGATAATTGACCTTGTATATTGCTTGATTCCTACTCATCATGTCTAAATTCTGTTTAGAATTGGCTTTGTGATGATATTGACTATAAAACATGACATTGAATTGTGCAAAAAGGTAGTGGTGTCATAAATCTTTGAGACAAGGAAGAAATCTATCGAAAGAGGAAAGTTGTGGGACAGCATTGCCAGAAAGTTGGAACTTCATGACCATCTATGCTTTCGAGTAGATCAGCGATCAGTTATAGAACGCTTGCGAAAATTGATAGCCAACTACCGTGTAAAGGAGAGAGTAGAAAGTGCTGCAAGTGAAATTTCTCCAGAACATGATGAGCTGGATGACTTGCTAGAGGAAAATTAATGCTAGAGAGGAGGCAAATGATGTTGTGGCTGCTGAAGCTAATGCTACTGAAAGGAAGAAAACTGATGCTGAGAAACTAGCTGCAGAAGAAATGCGAAAAACAGCCATGGAGCATCTTGCAAAAACCAAGCAGAGAAAAAAATGATGAGGGTCCGGTTAAGAAAAAAGTAAGATAAGGGGGAGACTCAACCTTAGATTTCCTAAAGGAGAAGGCTGAGAAAGAGAGAAAAGTAAAAGAGGACAGTTTGCTTTGGAAAGAGGAAGACTGGAATTGCAGAGGCAACAAATAGCAGCAGAAAAAAAAATCAGGGAGCAACTGATGGAAAAGCAAAACAAGCAATTTGAGAGTTTTATGGAAATTCAAAGACAGCAGAACCAACAAATGCAACAAAATCAATTGCTTTTGGTACAACAACAACAACAACATGGGCAAGCTTTGATTTCCCTTTTGGCTAAATTGGTTGAGAAATGAGATAACAATGTCTTTAACTTGTAGACAATATGTTTTCTTTAAACAGTTATTTATTTATTGTTGATAGGCTTTATAATCACATGATGAAGCCTTTAAAAAATTAGGAAAAGTACATTTGAAGTGAAGGTGGTTCAAGTTGAAAAAATTAACTGGTTGTATTTGAGTGCAAGCAGGTCAGAGCATTTCTAAGCAATGAAGCCACTATATAATTTTTCCAACACAACTAAGGCTGATTTATAGATCTTTTTAAAATCAAGAAACTTAAAATAGTTTATTATGTCCCCAAAATCCACTCAACTAATATCCTTACAGCACTCATTGATTTGTTAAATTCTTGCATGTGGACTGTAAGTTGCCTGTTCCTATATGGTGCTTGTAGGTGCATACGCAATGGTAGGCTGGATCACCATACAAGCACATGGGTTTATCATTGTAAAAGGCATATAATTGTAGATCCTGCAGTAGCCCTGATGAGGCTAACATAGCAGAATCGTGCCTTTTCCTTCTATAAAACAAAAAATTAAATGAAACTCAAAGTAAACATAAGGATATTAGTCAAATGATGTGCTTACCAACTGGTCCAAACAAATTGGCTATCATTCCATTAGGAAGAGTGATCGATTGAAACTTTATAGCATGTACCCTCTTATGACCATTGTATAGTAAACTTTGCATTTCATCTAGATGGCAAATTGGCCTCACTGTGCCATCAATAAAACCAAAACAATTGTCTAAAGCTCCTCCTTTCTGGTGAATTGCTTCAGCATAAATTTTCAAGTTATTGGGACTCAGTAAATCGTGATTCCAATTTGTTATTTTTCCCATGCCTTTCATAAATAAAATCTATCACAGAATTGGTAATCATGCTAAGTTCAGGCACAGATCTACCAAATTGAGATACCAAGTCACTGCATCTGCAAGGATAAGCAAAACGACGAAGGGCTATGCAAAGAGCCTCAAATCCAGTGCAAACTGTTCCTTGCTTGCACTTGAATTGGTAAAGCAAACCTAAAGCTTCAACAAGCAGCGGTATTTCATGCTTTTTAAAACAAAAATCCAAAAAACAGGTAACTTCGTCTATTTCTACCAGAATCAAATAATGGATAATCATTGTGCATTATTTCAGGATTTTTCGAACGGCAAGAATCGTATAGTAAGACAAATTCCTCGTCATTTATTAAAGCTGCATCATAGGCAAAAGCGATAGCAGTTCTTGCATTTCTGAATGACGACATTTTTAAATAGTCTAAAATGATGTTGCTCAAACTACACACGTCGCCCAGTCAAAAACTTAAGTCAAAATGTATAATCTACGCCGTCGCGTCTCGCCTCAGGACGTGCGCGCACAACTAGCGTCGTTTAAAAACGCGTCGTAAAATTGTAAGGTTCCTATTAACAACG